GCATTTCTCATGATCTTTATTAATAGAGTAATCGAAATTGAGGTTACATGATTAATATTAAGATACTGAGATACATCGCTATATATGTCAGCCTACCACCGTACTAAGCATATTTCTAATAAAAAACCTTGAGGCAAGGAAAAAGAAAGTAACTACTTAGTTTTGGGGGGCTAATGCCTCCCTAATAATTTATTTTATCCTGTGAGGACATGGATATATTCTGGGAAAGTAATTGAATAATGATGTTAGTTAGTTTGTCAGCCTGGTTTGTGTTTTGAGTAGACGAGTTATTTGTTTTCTGTGGTTGTTGTTGTTGTTGTTGTTTGTCTTTATGTGTGTTGGGGAGAACTTTTTAATTTTTAAAATATCATTAAACAATTGTTAATAAGATATATATTAAGATTGTTTAATATTGTATTAAAATTTATAAAAAAAAATTAGATATATAAATAGTTAAGAAATTATTAATAAAGAAATATAAGAAATTTATTTACTTATTAAAATATTTTTATTCAAAAATAAAAAATATATTATTGATTAAATATAATAAATAGAATGAATAAAATAATAATTAAACAATAATTAAACAATTGGAATTACTAATGATTATATAAAAGATTATTAGAAAAAAATATATTTGTTAAATAGAAAATTGAATAAAATATTGATTAAAAACTATCAAATAGAAGATTAAATATAAAATTACCAACTAAAATATGGAATATAAGTTTATCGAATAAAGAATTTATTAAAAAGTTATTAAATAAAATATTAAATAGAAGATTTTTAAATAGAATGTTAAATGGAATATTAAACAAAATATTAAATAAAATATTAAATAAAAGATTAATTGAATAGTTATTAAATAAAAAATTAATTAAATATCTATTTAATAGAAAATTGATCAGATAATATTTAATAAAAGATTAATTGAATAACTATTAAATGAAAGATTGATCAAATAATTGTTAAATGGATGATTAATTGAATAACTATTAAGTAAATAAATAATTAGATAATTATTAAATAAATAATTATTAAATAAAAAGTTAATTGGATAATAGTTGATTAAAAAATTGTTTATTAAATTATTAAAAAAATTATTAAGTAAAAGATTACTGAGATAATTTTCTTTTTGAATTTATTTTTAATAATTTTTTTGAAAAAAACAAATTACTTTATATTTAATTTTTATATAAATATAATTTTATAATAAATGAATAATTATTATATTATTACTATTTTTTATTTCTTAATTAATAAATTGTAATAATTCTATTATAATTTAATTAAAGTTATCTTGAAATTATATTATTATAATAATATTTTATTTATAATTATAGTAATAATAATAATAATATTTTATAATAGAAAATTGTTATAATATAATTATAATTTGTTTATTATTTTTTTAAAAAAAGTTGATAATGATATTGTTATTGGTATAACAATTTAATTATTATCAAATAATTGAGATTTTGTTACAATATAATAAAAATTATTAAATTGTAATTGAATTTTTACAATTTTATTATAAAATCATGACAATTATATGATCAGATCATTAAAATTTGATAGGTTTCAGTAAAGTAGAAAAAATAGAATATTTTTTATTATATAACAATTTATATTAACTAATTATAATTTGATAATTATTTTAAACTAATGTTATTTATATATAAACATATTATAGGTTTGTAATAAAAATGAAATTTTAAATTAAAAACAAAAATATAACTCAAATGTTTTTATTGTTAAAAATTTTTTTTTAAATTTGATATCAAAAAAAAATTATTTACAAAGGTTTTTTGCAGTTTAAATCATTTAACTCAAATATTTTTTTTAAAAAAAAAAACATAATTGACTTGCAAAATTTTATATGTTAATTTATCTATAAACTGTAATTACCTGTGCTATTACAAATATTATTCAAAACTAAATGAATGGGTCATTGGATTCTAAATAATAAAATGAATAATAAATTATAGTGTTACCATATTTATCCAACAATTGATTTCTTTCACATTTACAATTAATTGTTAATATGTAGCAACTATGACAATAAATTAAAATAATTCCATTTCTATAAAAACAGCAACTGCGAATATTAAGCTAAATTATTCATCTCGGCTAATTTTGAAAATATTCAAACGTCTTATGTTCATTTATTTTAATTCCAATTCCGAATTGATAAGAATAATCAACATTAAATGTCCGTACTTATAATCCATATCTGGTGATTTTTATAATATTATGTTCATCCTTTTAACTCCAATTCCATTGAGATAGCAACAGCCAACCTGGAATACAACATTCGAGTTTCCATCTCAGCAGATTTTTGATAATATTCGAATGCCTTATGTTTATGATTTTCGAACTCCAATTCCATTGAGATAACGATGGCTAACCTTATACGTTCCATTTACTGTATATGATCCATCTCTGCTGAATTTGATAATATTCATTCTCTTCAACCCCAATTTCATTAATATAACGACAGCCAACATTATATGTTCCCGATGCATTACCCATCTCTGCCGATTTTTGAAAATATTCAAATGCCTTACGTTCATTCTTTTTAATTCCAATTCCATTTTGATAATGGCCAACCAGAAAAAAGATTAATTTTCGACAGTATTCATAATAACTTTAATATCATTACAATAAAGTTTTGCAAGAGCGAATATTATAATAAAATATTTCGTTCAATGTGTAAATAATACAATATTAATAATAAATCTATTATTTTGCTATTAATTTTTCTAATTGTTATTTTTTAATAATTGTAATTATTTTATATTACCTAATTACTGTTGGCAACGAATGTTTGAATTATCATTATTACGCCATTATAAAGAATAAATAAGTCCCGTTTCGTACATTTGGCTGATTCTTTTTGAAAACGACAAAAATGTTATATACGATTTTTTGATCACTATTTTTTGAACAATACATATACAATATAAATTCTAGGAGTACAATTATAAAGTCAGAAAAATCCCTGTCCGCCTTCAAAAAGAATTACCCATTTGAGCAAGATATGTCAATAAAGTATCGTGAAGCACAAGAGATCAGAAAAACATGAAGTTTTTTTATCAAGAAAGGATAAATGAAAAGAAAAAGATTCATTACGTAAGGGTTAGCTCAGGTAAACAGAAAGAGGACCTTGACAGGTAACACGAATACTTCAAACAGAAATGGCCAGACAAGAACTCATCAGAAACATTGGGTCAGTTCTCAACTGGAAACGTAAGTGCTTCACATACGTTTTGGAACGATCGTACTGAGGAGATATTCTTGGCAAGATTAGTACAAAGATTAAAGATCGTGATACTCGGTTTGGACGTCAATGTTAATGAACTTGCAGAAGACCTATTATCAATCGTTACTATCTTCACGGCAAGACACATGGGTCAGATCAATTGGAAGCCGAAAACGACAAAGAGAGATTAAAAACACGAAAGATACGGATTTATCCAACACTCAAAGAAAGAGAAAAGCTAAGAAAGTGGATCGGAACTGTGAGGTGGACGCACAAAAAAGGTTCTAAAGATGATGCAAGACGATGGGATCACTGACAGAGCGTTATACGAAAACGCTATCTGAACGATGAGTGCTTCACAAAAGAGACCCTTAGGGAAGTATGCTCGTACACAATTCGACAATTGATGGCCGCATACAAAATAAACAAGAAGTTGCACGGAAATACTGCAGTTTTCGAACGAAGTAGGAATTGAAATAGGAACAAAGGGAAATACGCGTTCCTAAAAAATATTATCACCTCAGAACAATCACCAGATATCAACAATTCCGTTTCTTTGGATATCATCGATAACCAAGATGATGTTCGGGGAATGATAATCTCTCTCAATCCAGTGTTCGCACGTTTATGACCAGTTATAACCCTGACGATCAATTGGCAATGGTGATCTAATAAAATATTTAAATTATCTAAGAGATACGACAAATTGCAGAGCGAACAAAAGAGATGCTATGAATCATAAAACAGATCAGCAGTTTAATCGATAAGTGCCATCATCGGCTGGTCCGTTGGTTATGTCATAATTACGAGATCATTCTTTTACCCAAGTTCGAGAGTTCGAGGATGGTTTTGAAGAACAATCGAAGATTCAGTTAAAGATTGCTCATGCAATGCTAACTTGGTCGCATTTCAAGTTTCGAATGTTCTTACATCATAAAGTTGCAAGGTCATTGAATTCACCGGAGAGTATACATCAAAGTGTGGAAATTATGGATTCGTAAAAAAGATCTCGATGGATCAAAAACGTTTAAATGTAACTCGTGCGAGGTGGAGATGAATCGGGACGCGAATGGTATATGTGGATACGACGACATGCATAGTAAAGATTAGCTTTATTTATTCATATTGGATTCAATGTATGCTGGTCACGTATTATTTCTATAAATAGGCATTGATTCAAGAGTTAGTTTAATAATTATCAAATTTGTTATTTTTAAAAAAATTTTTAACTCTTATATAATTTCCCTTTTACTAACCTTTTCATTATCGCATAATTAATTTCATGATGCATAAAAGATCCAAACGACGCATAGCATCCGTGAGAAAGTTCGAATCGTTTTGGTTAAAGCGCTCGTTGCATTGAATAATGAGATGGCTTGACTCCCGACCATCGATCGTATTCGTATATATTCACGTTATAACGGATACTTTATCTTTTAGAAAATTATTCGCATTTATTTTTACACTCAACCATGAGTTCGTAATTACTGTATATTACATATTTATTATTATTTATCAAATAATTTATTTAAACCAATGACTAAAAGATTCTATAATATAAATCACGAGAAGTCAAATTCCCAGAAGGCAACCGTTATTTTTCGTGCAACCGATCGACACGTGCAATAGAAATTCGGAGATTAAATTTATCTCCCAGCAAAATTGTTTTTCTTCAATAAATAGTTCGCCTGGAAGTTGACACAAGATTGTAATTTGAATTCTAATTTTATTAGACATAATGGCTGCATTACCTTCCACTCAATTTACCTGTACGTGTATTGTGTTAAATCATTTGTCGGCTCTTCGTGATTTCTATGTTTAGTCTGAAAGTTGACTTGATTCGCAGATCGGTCCTATAGTAACTTTAAACTGGTCTCGGGACACCCAGACTATCAGCCTATTCCGAACTTCGAAGAGTAAGTCACATTCTACCCCAAATATATTATAAACTTTTCTTGAAATTTATAGTATTTGAATGATTCCACTAGCCCTGAGGGAAATGTAAAGACCTTTCAGTATAGCAAAGATGGTAGATATCTTGGTTGGGCGTCTCCCGAGAGGTAAAATTTGGATTATGTCTGGAACTCAATCATATGCTTTGAATCCTTATACCGAGTCAACATTTATCTATTCTAAGCGTGAAGATTATCGATACCGAGTCAATCGAAATTGTTAATGAAATTCCAAAGAAAAATGTTGTTGAAATTGGATTTTCTCCGAAGGGAAGGTACATTTCTACTTGGGAAAGATCAGGTAATATTGAAAGTGATAATTCGATTTATGATTATTATTCTTATGTTTCTGATAACTCGTTAATTAATTAATATTACGTTAATTGATCTATCAAGTGAAGTTGGCGGATAACTCAGTACATGCTAATCTAGTTGTGTGGGAAGTTGCTACGGGAAAAGAGTTGATTTCCTTTACGCAAAAAAGTCAAACGAATTGGTAAAACATTGTTGTTTATGAATACAATGAGAATTGTGGATTAGATTTCTCATCAATCATGCGTAATAGGAATGTTCAGTGGACCGAAGATGAATCGTTTTTCAGTCGTTTGGTAACGGGAGAAATACAATTTTATGAAAGCAAGAGCCCAGAAAAAGGCGTTCACGGCAGATTGAAGATAGAGGGGATTGGTGATTTCTCTTTGTCACCCGGAAAAAGTCCATCCGTTGCAGTATTTATTCCAGAAAAAAATGTGTGCATGTCCTTTAATTGGTTCATTTCAACATTTTGTTTAGTTGATTAATTCCAATCCTTTAAATATAATTAAATATATATATTTATTCCTTCTGTAGGCAGCACCGGCAGCTGTTCGCATATATTCCATTACCAATTTTAATTTCCCATTGTCCTCGAAAGTCTTTTACAAAGCGGACAAAATTCAGATGAAATGGAACAATTTAGGTACAAATTTACTTGTTCTAACTCAGACGGATGTGGATAAAACGAACAAGTCATATTATGGAGGTAATCCTACACGATCTTTGTTT